AATAACCCATGGCCACTGATTCAAAAACCTTAACTGAACTTAGATTTACTCAAAAATCTTTTTCATTTTTGACTTGGACTTAAAATAACAAGATGACGTTTGACAATAGACATGTGGTTATCTTGATTAGGGTTGAAGGTCGATACAAGAGGAAAATGATTTTTGAGTATCTGTGTCCCCTATCTACTTTCGATCTCAGTTGTTGTGTCCTGTTTTTAAAACCTTGTGCATACTATCACTAATCAGTTTGTCTAGATAGCTTTGGTTAAGTAAAAACATTTTTAGTTCAGCAAGGCGATAATATTTTAACATCATCACTAGAAACTATTGTACAAAATCTTCTTGCCAAACAGTACAGTGTGTCAAAAAACTGACGTGAATCTGTTTTCTTATAGAATATAACTGTAGCTATGTTACCCTATTTCTATTTTAACTGTAAACGTCAAGAAGGTTTAACCAGTAATCATGACTTTCTATAGTAAGTTTCATTGAAGGATCAAGCGTTAAGATTTTCATGAATAGTTTGAAGAAACTTATTATCATTTTGAGGATGAAAACACAGTCATCTAAAATCGCTTGGATTTTCAACTTGCTCTTTCATGTTAATCGTAATAATTCGATTAAGTCAGCTATAGTACCAGAGAAGTATTTGACATCAGTAGAAAATAAGGATTTGATAAGAGCCATGTGTAAATTTTGACTTTCCCTACACAATTTAATGTCATTTTTCCAGAAGGTATAAACAAGACGATATTGACCCTAATTAAATGTGCAAACTGTAAATTGGGTTTTATTGAAGATGAATTCCATGTATTATTAGTTTGTGATAAATATAAATATCTGAGAGAGAAATATCTTCCTCATATTAAACATGTCCATAAAAACAATATGTTAATGGTAAATTTATTTAACTCTCAAAAATCCTGTTGTTATACATGCAGTTGCAACATTGTTAAAACATATATTTATTATAGTTACAGACCTCGGACAGAAATTAAAGCAGTAAAACATTGGCTTGATAAATTCTGTCATGAAATACCAGATAGATTTTCAAATGAGTTTATCATTGACGCTTTAAGTCTTGTCATTGAAAATATTGTGTTTTATTTTGACGGATGTCTTTACTCTCAAAATAAAAGGCGTAGCAATTGGTAAGACAGTAGCGCCAGCTTATGCAACTCAAGTACTTGGATATTTGGAAAGTTATTCTTCTCTAAAGTTGGAGAGACATTGCAGACAGACAGACAGACAGACAGACACTTTATTCGGTAATATACGGCCTTATGGCCCATTTTACAGTTAATATATAATGTGTTTTTAATGTCAAGTGAGCACAAGTTGAAATAGTTATCTAGCATTACTATATAGATAAACAACATCAAACCTAGCCAATTTCGAGTCCTCAGGGTATTGTTTGTGGAAGTTTATATACAAGGTCAATGTAATCTCTTATGTAACTTTTAACTTGTGTACATAAAGGTTCGAGGATAAGATCAGTGACAGAATAGTCTTTGCGTGTGACTTACGGGTCCTCCAACAATAGGTCTAAAGGGGATGTCTTCTGGGTTTTTAACAGAAATAACCGATGAGATTTTATTTTGAATCATTTTACTTTTGTGTATTTTCGGAAAGCCATAAAAATACGCAATCTTAGCCTCAAAGTTAGTAATGTAGTCTTCTCGCTCAGGGTCCGATATGTCAGTGGCAAATCTGTCTAACAATTTTGTTTAAAATTGTTTTTTCTTCTCTTGCGTTGGATTGGTTTTAGTATGCCTCATTATCAAGGATAGACACTATTTTGTCTTTGTAAAAGGCCTTATCCACAATGACATTTTGTGCCTCCTTTATCCGCCTCCTTAATAACTATATCACTATCATTTCGTAAAGTCATGTAAAGCTTTGGACTCACGCTTTAAGTTGAGTTTAGGTTGTTTTACTCGTATGGGTACATTTTCAACCAATATTCCTCTAAATATTTGTCAGTTCCACAAGGGGCACAAAGTTACATTTATTCTTTAGTAAGGATTAGGATTCCCTTGCATTGTCTATTTCTTCATCTGTTACTGTGATTTCCCTCTTCCTTCTGTTCAAAGAATTCAGTTGAAGTTTACGGGCAAAACGTTTAATGTCCGATCTCAACTCCAGCTCATTAGATTTAGGTGTTGGAGTGAATTTCAAACCTTTCTTAAACAATTTCACTTCATCATCACTCAAATCATGCGACGAAAGGTGGAATATTTTTGGGTCGTTTATGTTATCCATGGAGGCCTGAAGAAGCAGGCACAGAATGTTCCTCCTGAAAACGTGTGCCAAATTTATTTGCACTTCAGTTTATTCAATATATTTACACACATATATATTTATGCAGGGCGTTGGTGGTACATTTGCTGGGGCCAACAATATATCTCTCTTTGGAAGGATTTCTCTGTGGTTTTGGAATCTGATACGAAAGAGGAAAGGTCATGTTTTCAGGTTTAAGAATCCCGTTGAAAATTTCTTCTGCACTTTGACATACTGGTCTTACATGTGGCGTCATTTGACATGCCATTTTATACCAAGTTCTTTGATTAAACAGTCATTAAAGTGTTACTTATATAAACCATGTGGTTATGCCATGTGAGGTCCTGTCAGTGGGAATTTGAATAGCAGATGGTTCTTATTAAGTGATCAGATATTATCGACTACTGCAAAAAGCCGTGCCTATTGGATTTACTACAAACGTCTGCACGTTCTCAAAGATCTATAAACTAGAACACATTCCACGTGCACCACGCCGGAACCATGCAGATAAGTGAGTGAGTGAGTAATATTCTAGGCTGGGGACACCAGGAATGGGCTTCACACATTGTACCCATGTGGGGTATCAGAACCCGGGTCTTCGGCGTGACGAACTCTATAACCACTAAGCTTCCTACCGCCCCTCCATGCAGATAAGACAAAAATAATGTTTTGTATAAAGTCTTGAACTTGGGATGTATGTTAAATTTGAGTAAATTAGGGATAACTGTCAGCAGTCCATAAACAAACTTTATTCACATCAGTGATATGTTCTTGTAAGAGCATATCCTTTATTGTGTCACAGGTCATTCAAAGGAACTTACTTACAATTTTGGCTGCTCGTTTTAGTTATTTTAAACAAACTCTTTGTAATATACGCCTGTATTTTGTACAAGTGAGTGTTCAGCCGGCAACTGTGTCAGAGGTTGCTGTCCACAATGCTTCTCTTTAACATCCGCTGATCATGCAGCCTATGGCCGTTGCTTTACTCGCATATACTCTGTATTTCGTAATGACCAATGATATTTAAGTATTATTTGTACCTCTTTATTCTATTTAAGTCTGTAGCCAAGGAACCTTTGGTGCAAACTGCAGCCATTTATGTCAATGTTCTGATAGACCCTGTGACAGAGTCAGTGGGATCTGTGCTGGTGACTGTAGAGCCAGGGTGGCGGGGGCAAAACTGTTCTATAGGTGAGTGATATTTAGATTTGGTGAGAAACTATTGAATAGGCTTCGATACCTATGTGTCATGACGTATTGGGTAAAATCTTTTGCCTCATCTTCAAAATTATTCGCACAACCACTGGAACCACTTAGAAATTGTATAATATTATGATATCCTCCTTTCTTAGAGTGTGACGAAGACCATTACGGAGTCAACTGTAACGACCCGTGTGGCAGCAGGAACTGTGCTACTGATACATCGTCATGTGACTGGCGGACTGGGTCATGTGACACCGGGTGTCTCCCCTGGATGGACTGCAGTAGACTGCACACAAGGTACACTGTAATCATGAGCCCCATGAGGACTGTAGAATTTGTCTTCAGCATCGCATTGCTTGTCGTAAAAGGTGACTTAACTGGGCATCCTGTTTGGCTGAAAGTCACTCTCATGCGTCGGTCGAGGAAGGGATTCTTGTGGTTGAGGGCAGTGATTCCAGGAATAACATTCCTTTACCCAATGCATTTCTTGTGGTAGACTGCACCTTATTCTGTCAATCGGCTTGTCAAGCCTTTGTGCATGAATTTAAGTCATTGCAGAAGTTATGTTGTCAAATTATCGTTTCACTTCAAGTCTTGGCCCCTTTATTCATATAACACAACTTTGAAATTTGTCTGTTATGGAATTTGCATAGTCTTATGCGCAGAAGGCGGTGGCTCATGGACCAGTCAGGTGGATTGATTAATTTCACTTAATCTAATGCTAAAGTATACCGTCACGGAACCATTGGTTAAAGTTGCACTTCCATAAAGCACTGGATTTGTGACACGCCGTGATGGGTTCAGAGCTGGTTGGTGAAGCTTCTCTTTCTATGAACTAAACAAAGAGCAGCTGGTATTGGATGAATGCTCTTCCCTTTATGAGGACAGTATCACAAAGACAACTTCTTATATTTGGAGCATATTTCTCGTGTTACTTCAAATGATGGTGAACCACTCACATTAAACGCTTCACATCAAAGAGTAATGGTGAAAATACCTATTTGCCTAAACACCCAAAATCCACCAAGGCCGGATATTGTATGATCGAAGTGGAAGAATATATACCAAACCCACTTCGATGTTACAAGTGTCAAAAGTTTGGCCATGGTACCCCATCTTGTGGGGGCGAGCTGGCTAAGGCGCCAGGCTAGTGATCCAGCGAGCATGAGGCGTCGGGATCGAGCCCACCTGTGACAGGGTGTAAAACCTTTTAATTGAGTCAACTTTGTGTGCAGACTCCCTAGTATACAGCACACAACCCTGTGCACTTAAAAGAACCCACTAATCCGTTGGTATATGACCAGATGGTGGCCACATGAATACGTGCAAACACCTAGTTGCGGGTACAGCAACGTGCAGTAAACTCTGGACAAAGTGCTGTGACTATGTGTCCCAGTCCACCCAGCTGTGAATGGGTACCCTCATTAGGATGGGAAAGCCACAATAACTCGGTGGGCCTAGTGGTTGCAAAGAGTTGTATAATTCCCAGGAGTTGAGATTGATAATACGATGTGTCGTTGAGATTGACATCCAATGATCGAGGGGAAAATACCAGCGCCTTGAGCAAGCACTAGTTGCGTGGATATGTGCGCTACACATAAATATCCTATACTAATAATCACTTACTACCGATGTGGTGAGGGCTACACGTGATGGATTCAATATCGTCTAATATCTCTTAAATTCAACCTCGTCTTCAACAGCAGGTATGGCATACTCTCTTACCAAATCAGTCCAGTCTCACTCACTCAACTGTAAAAGTGTCTGTTTCATTATGTATCACCAATAGTTTCAGTTCTCATGAGAAGCAAGTGGCTTTGGGTTGGAAAAGTAGATCCCCTCTACTTCCACCACCGAAAACAAAATAATAACTCTTCAATTCAGTGGAATTTCAGACAATTAAGGAACAACTTTCATGAAATTCAATTATTGGTACAGGATTTTAACCCAGAAGCAATATGTCTTCAAGAAACAAAATTCAAGCAAACAGATCAGTGTGTGCTTACATGCTTAGGCGTTGCTTCATCATATAGATACCTCTATATCGATGTTGGATGCGTGGTATATCTACATATTTGCACACGAATTCATTCTTAACTATACCAATAATATATGCAACATTGTCTCTGGCTTTTCACTGAAAATAACCCCACCCCCATTTCCAGTAACATGTCTTGTTATCACAAGGACTACTTTTCTGCAAAATACATAATGCTTGCATAATCACTTCATCATGGATCTGTATTCCTGTGTAATTCCTGACAAGGATAGTCTAACTTCAAACAATACGACAATATTTAAATGCTATAATCACAGTAACAGTGCTTGAATTTCACTGTGAACTCTTAACAATTGCCCATTTTACAGAATGTTCCCTCGGAACCTATGGACAAAACTGCAGCAAGCGATGTAGTGACAGGAACTGTGCAGGCAACTCGTCATGTGATCATGTGACAGGATCATGTGTCCCCGGATGTAAAGCAGGATGGATGGGTAGAGACTGTAAGGATGGTGAGTTCTCTCAAAGTCGACTGATTACTTCATATATCTTTGAAATGTATTAGATGTTCTTGGCATAAATTCAAAATAATTATTTGTTTGACATTTATACAAAATTAGACTTGTGTTAGAATGGGTATAAATTATTGACTGCTCAAAATATGAATTGTTGAGAATATTTAATATTTAGAGGTTATTTAAGCCTTGTTAATTGTAGTGGTACTCTTTAATTTTTAAAAGCATGGCGTTTTTGTGGCATCTGGCTCTACTATAGGTGCCAGAGCTGGTCAATATATCGATAAGGCGTATGAATATATAGAACTAACATGGCGTATCATGCGGACATTTTGCATTTCAAGATTTGGGCATCACAGATCCATCATCGCAAACGTTCTCGATGTGTTGTTGATAACAGTTGGAGAGAAAACAACAAGGACATATATGTACAGCTCAATAGACAATATGAGAAATGTTTTATGTGATATGAACTTTAGTAGCTTTACATTATATATATTGAGCCATATTCGATATCAGATTGTTGTATACAGTATATACATGATATGTACCCCACGTGATGTGACCTGATACGTTGAGACAATTATTATGTTATGTTTTTGAAATATTTAGCAGCATCTTACTTATGAGTTGTTAGCCTGTGGCAGCACCACTACTGGACCCAACTGTACCCAAAATGTGTCTCCAGACACTGTCTGGGGAACTCTTCCTGTAACTCAACAGGGCATGTGACAATGGGTTGTAAGACAGGATGGACACTGACTGATTGCACAGGTAACGGTGTTTGTTAAATTGTGTCGTTTATGGTGGTGAAATGCATCAGAGTTTTGGTACCAATTCTAAATAATGTTGGTTCCTAGTATGGGGGATCTACCCTAGGTTGTTGGCGATCTTTAACCCGTGTTTTATACTGTATTGTCTGTTGTAATTAAAATGTTTTAGTTTTCCATGCTAGTTTTATATCCATATCTGCTTGATACTCGAGTTATTTTACAGTCCGTCGATGACTGATTATTTACCTACTTGTATTTATTGTGTATGTCCACATTTCGTTCATCACTATGTGGCTGAAATATTGCCGATGTGATGTAAATTTTAAAGTCACTCACTCACTAAATAATGTTGCTTTTACATTTATACATGTTGCAGCTTGCGAATCCCATCTATTTGTTCCAGATTGTACAGAGACCTGCGCCTCCAGACACTGTAAGGGGAACTCTTCCTGTAACTCAACAGGGGATGTGACAATGGGTGTGAGACAGGGTGGACACAGACTGATTGCACAGGTAATTAAAACCATTATATAATAAGAGTGTGAGTGAGTGAGTGAGTTAATATTTAACGTCACATCGGCAATATTTCAGCCATATCGTGACGAGAACATTTGATATTGGAATGAAATATAGGTAAAATTATAAAATCTGCCGACGAAGGGCAGTAAAACAACTAGAATATCATAGATATACATGTAAAACTAGTAATTAAATCTAAAACATTTTAACTTTAGGGGACAGCACAATATAAAAAATAGGCAATAGATCGTCAACAACTGAAGGTAGATCACCATACTAGGGACCATGGGACTTTACATTCCTTTGCTACCTGCATGGACCCTAGCTGGATTTACACCATCCCTTCAGCTGCTGGCGATTGGAAGAAATGTTAGCCAAAATTAAAAGAACAAGTATACTACGTTTAAAATCCTGGCAAGTTTAAATTGACTTTGAAAGTTTTGGGACTTACGTACCCTCCTCAGGAGAACAATAATTTTACGCTACGTCAACCCCTTTAAGGGTACAGCCACTAACAATCTCAGTTACTAATACAAACTACCAACAATATAATATTTAACTATTTACAGATCAGTCCACAAATCTAATTCTTTTAAAATTCAACTATTAAAATGATAATTAACATTATAAAAAAGATCCTTCAATGTCTTGATATTAAAATACTTATCCCTTGTGATAGAATATTCAACACAGTCAAGCAGGACATGCTTGACTGTGATTCTTCATCACAAGGGAAACAAAACGGAGGATCTTCGCCTTTCAGTAAATATTCATGAGTATATCTAGTGTGGCCAATACGACATCGTCGCATAATGACCTCTTCAAATCTGGACTGACAACCCAAGTAGGTGTAACCAATGTAGGGTTTTATTGCATGTAATTTATTAATACCTACTTGGGTGTCCCACTTCTTTGCATCAGATCGCGGATGCTATGCTCTAATGCTGGCTTTATAATCAGAGTATGGGATAAGAAGTGGTGTCACAGATTTGTTGAGGGCTGCCTTAGCAGCAATATCAGCCATCGTGTTCCCAGAAATGCCAACGTGGCTGGGCAACCAACAACAAAATGCCGGTGTAAGATTGAAAACATACCCGCGTTGAAAAGGTACCCGGGGGGTACTTTTTCAACATTGAATTATTACCCGGACTCACTTTTCAACGCCCGGGGTCTTTTTTCAACATTGAATATTTACCCGGCTGCTATTGAAAAATAACCCGGGTCACGTATTGAAAAGATACCCTCGTTGAATAATGACCCTCGCTGTTTTCTACACTGTCAAGTAAGATACATATGTTAAGATATATACACGTATGCAACGTACCGGACATCTGTGGTTTGATGCAATGTGCGAAATAGCCACTGATCCGCTAGTCCGTGGCTAGTAAAATTCCAGTCGGGCCAGTAAATCTCCACAGTCACTGGGACGACTGGCAAGTGAACTTTCATGGGGTGATTTTGAAAACATATAATTCTCTCCGACATGTTAACTTATAATATACTTGTAAATCATGCAAGATTATGGCCTGATAAAAATGTTCATCATATTGGCAGCTTAATGATGAAACCCGTGTCTACATTCAAATTTCGGGCTAGTGATATATTTTATTGGCTAGAAACTTTCAGGCATAGCTTGCCCGACTGGTAAGTACAATTTGGAAACTATTTCACACACTGGTTGGATGGTGAACATAGACACATTTTAGCTCACCTGGACAAACTTCAGATGAGCTTATGTCGTTGGCTGTATGTCCGTCGTCGTGCGACATCTGTAAACGTCATTTCCGAAACTACTTAGCCGATGAAGCTGAAACTTGACATACATGATCCAAACCAAGAGGACACCAAAGGTTGTTAGAGGCATTCCGATCCAATTTCAGATATGACGACTACAGCCGCCATTTACTGAAAATGCCATTTTCGCTCTTTAGTCCCCAATTTCTGCAGTGAATCAGCTGAAAGTTGATATATCTGTGCCAGATAGCAAACTCAACACATTTGCTTTACTTTGCCATTTTAGCTCTGTTTGACCTTTTATTCGACACGGCCTTTAATTTCAGTTTTATCTTTAAAACATGTTCTCTGAAACTACTATCTACTTGAGTGATGAAGCTGAACATTTTCATATATCTTCTTGCAATATATGTATATGGCCATATTGAAAATGCAATTTTGACTGATTTGTGACTCATATATAGTTGTGTTATTGTAGGTATGTGTCTCTTTGATTAATTGTATCATGGCGAGAGTACTTTTGTACTGTTGAAAATGGACCAGTAGTATGTTGCACGTTTTATAACGTATGACAGAAGTAACTTTGTCAGCGTTCCTTGAATGTTGTATACCGTGCGTGTCAAATCTCGTAGATTGTAGTAGAATTATAACTTATAGCATGAACTATTTTCAAGAGTAGATGTCCAATTTTGTTAAAACGTGTTGATCACACGTTCTTTAAAATGTGAATAAAAGCGCACGGATCACAGCTTGTGAAAACGGGCAAATCAAAAAACCGTGTAAGCAAAGTATATGACGGATCTCAGACGTCCATGTGTGGTACCAAGCAGTATCTAGGTAATACAACATAATATATGCCTTTTTCGGAATTCGTTCATCATGCATTGTCATTAACTTGAGCCAATATTTCATCGTTCGAACGTAGAAATTAATATAAACTGGAAACCGTCAACATTCTCCATATACTATTGCATTTGGTGTCTGTGGACCGACATTTAAAAACATTTTACATCCTTGTAAGTGAATTGTTTTCAATGCTATCGGATATTTTAACCCCCCAAGCTTCTGACACGTACAAACATGTTGGCTGAATTTGGCTGTCAAATATTAATAAAAATACTTTCATAGGTATTGGTCATAATTTCCTTAAAGATCACATGCAACGTAAAACATAACTTTGCAGATTCTGATACCTTTCGGTATGGACTTACTGAACCAAATCATCAAAAATGCAAATTCAACTTATAAAGTTGAAAAATAACGCGATGAAAAAAAACTCGCGAAATCGGAGTTCAAACGATTCACTAATTTTCCCCTAGCCCTATGGGGGAAAAAGTGGTTTCAACAGTTGGGCTGCGCTGCGCTGGGCTGCGGTCATAGTCACATGCGCAGTGAAATAGGTTCGCACAGCTTGGAAGCGGGTTGTCCGGTGAATACTCGGTGAAGGCTTTGGTGCGAGCTATTTTCGAATGTTTTGTTGATATATCACAGGCGCGAGCTTTTTTATGTTATGACAGTAGATTACCGATTTAACTGTTTATATAATTTCATTTGTCTATTTCACCACACGTTCTTCTTACCGAGTCACTTTCTCAGTTCGATACTTAAAAGCAATGTCATTATTTAGCCCTGACAGAATTTCTAACTGTGATATAGATATGTCGTTGTCACAGAAAAAACACAATGTCTGTTTAACTGACACCTATGTGTCTGCCTGCCCGTCTGCTAATAACAATATTCAATACACAACTTCGATCACTGACCACATGCAATTTGAACACCTATCAGGCTATACACCATAAACAAAACGCATTGATTTATGGCCCGAATTCGGTTGCTGTCACATTATGTAATTACACAAACAGGCAGGTGTGATACTTGTACACATGACATGTTATGATGTCTATTGATTGCAAAATGTGATACACAAAAAATGAGCATGTAGTTATAAAACCAAACATCTCTATATATACACACACAATGAGCCTTGAGGGCATCTGCAAATGTTGAACCAGCCGTTACACTTGAGTGCACACCCACCCGCTCTGACTGGGTTCGGTATCCCGGCTGCTTCGTTTCTTGGGAATTAAACCCAAATACAAAATATTGCACTTTTGATTTGCGATTGTACGCTTATAATTTTGTTTATATGGTTTTTCATAATCAGCAATGTTTATTATATGTCATGAATAAGTGATAATTGTGTTTTACTTATGTTTGATTTTTTGGTTGCATGTGACCTTTAAGTTTATAGCTAATTCCATTTAAGCCTTCTTACTACGAGCTGCAAGCTCTGAGACAACTTGTCTAAGACTACAATTACAAGCGAAAACAAAACCTAGATATTTGTAGCAGTTTACCGCTTCAATGTTTCTCTCATCATAAAGCGAGTTTTCCTTAACCGCTAATTCCCCACCTCTCCTAAAAACAAGATTTTTAGTTTTATCTAAATTTACAGTTAATCACCAGTTATCTGCATACGATTTTAAAGTGTCTAACTGGCACTGAAGACCACCAATAGTATCTGACACAAGAATTACATCATCCGCAAATAACAACACTAGAATTTCAAGTACATCTGGAAACAATTGGTCTCCATGTTTACCATAATTTGTGATTTCTACAGGAAGTTCATGTATAAACAATGAGGATAACATTGGACTCAACATACAACCCTGCCGTAAACCAAATGTACCGTTAACTCGAATTGAACTCTGACACACGATTTCACTGTTTTATATATACTCATAAGAGCTTGCAACTTTGGTTTATGTCGTATGATGAAAGCAATATCCAGAGTTTATCTGTATTTACAAACCCAAAAGCTTTTATAAAACCTTCTTCTACACAGATTTTTCTCGATGATAGCATACAATGTGAAAATATGGTAAACAACTGAATAGCCTTTCCGAAAACCAGCTTGAGTTTCAGAAGCTTTATCCATAACATTTACCCATTTTGTTAGTCTTTCATTTAAAACACAAGTATATATTTTCCCGTATATGAGCTGAGTAAAGGAACTATAATTGCTCTACTCCACATTTGTGGGAAACAACCGTTTAAAATATTTTATTGAAAATTGCTACTCAAAAGGGCATTATTTTAGATTCACTTGTTTTAATCATTTCTATAAGGACGTTATCAATACCTGGGGATGTACCATTTTTCATATGTTGTATCACTTGGATTCAAATCACTGTTTGGACACTGTTACGCAGTGGAAAATTAAACTAAAACTACATAAATTTTGACTTACCTTTCAATC